AACCCTGTGCTAATCATACTGACAAACCACAGACTCAGACGTTGCCTAAGTTCATCTGATACCTTTCATTGAATTTTAATACCCGTGCTGTTGAGCAGTAATCATTGCTGTGTCATCCTTGTCGCAATTTATTTTATATTTGTTTAATCTCTAGTATCTCATTGCTCTCTGTTGTTCACCAGGGTGTGTATGACCTGACATGGGAGATCCTTCAGGAAATCCATGCGGAAGATCCCAACACGGATCAGCCTCAGTGGGTCAAAGCACGACGAGTGAAGGCCTCTTACCACAGAGTTAAGTCACCAGGAGACATCACCAAAGTCCAGGTACAGTGCTTCACTCCTTACTTAAGTTACTAGCAGTGTATTTAACAGGTTACAATAACAATACAGTCACCCAGATTCAAATGTCTGATGTCTCTTCCACATGTGATGACTAACGTTCTCACTTTGTTGAACAGGAATTCCTCGCAGCAGAGGTTCTGAAATTGTACGGTCTGGCCAAGGATCAGAGTCAGAAGACTGACTGGCAGAAGATGCTTAAATTTGGCAAAAAGAAACGGGACAGAGTCGATCACATACTGGTAGGTCCCCAAATGACTTTTTTTGAGTTATTACCTCCACCGAGGAGGTTGTTTTCACCTCGTTGGTTTGTAAGCAAGATTACACAAAAACAACTGAATGGATTTCCATGAAATTTGTTTTTCAATATTTTCACCATTCACTCAGAGAATAATTAATGGAGCTTGATGGAAATAATCGTGCATTGATATTTATTATAATTATAGGTATGTAAAATGTGACATTTTCATATAATGTCCAACATTTTTCTATCACCGACAGAACATAAGATATGGTTGATACAGGAGTTGAGAATGTAAAAGAAACTGCAATAGTCTTATTGAATTTTGCATAAAACTGAAAATGGACATGCAAACTTTAAGTCAAGACATTTTTCCCGCTTTACTCACAGTGATATGAACAACTGATGTTAGTAAGATGTGTTAGAGGTGAACCCTGTTTTTCTCTCAGGTCCAGGAACTCCACGAGGAGGAGGCCCAGTGGGTCAACTACGACGAGGACGAGCTGTTTGTCAAGATGCAGCTGGCAGACAGCATCTTTGATGCGTTGCTTAAAGACACCGCAAACACGCTGACGCAAATTTGTGACACGAGGGCCAAAAGAGATGCCCCCTCTTGACGGCTTTCCTGCTTAGATTTCAAACTACAAACCTCTAGCTCAACCGCTGTCTATCCTCACCCCAGTGAGCTCCAGCCAACCTGTCGCTGCTCGGTCTTCCACCAGCTGATGTGCCAACAGCAACCCTCAGATGCCTTCAATCCCAGCATTACCTCTCAGCTCAACTACTCCTACTTATTTCATTGATGTTAATTTGCTGAGTTTGCTTCAGCTAACTGTCGTGGTTGTAGAATTTGTTTTCACACACAAAATGCCTCCTGAGTGATCCTGAAACTTAAACACCATCTAGTCTCAGTTCTCATGTTCTCATTTCTCACCTCCTGGACTGGTCATTTTGTAAATGCCAGTGAGAGAGTGAGCAGATATTTTATAGAGTACAGTGGATTGTGCCATTTGTTTGCATTTCAAGTCCATTTATGCTGCTAAAAGGATTGTTCCACAGGTGACTAAAATATAAAACCTGCCTAGAACAAAAGTAGGTTATGTCTTTTTTTGAATCTTAAATATAAATTTGGATTCAAAAAATGTAATCGAATCGCAGAAAAAATATACAGTGTAGTCTGCATGTGATTTGACTGTGACACAATTGTTTTAACTTTGTAATCCAGCACATTAAATTAAACAGTGACTATGAGTTAAGATGTCAACTTTAAGCTTTAATCTGGAGGATTTTACTTCCGTATTGGGTGAAAAGTGAAGGGATTGCAGCCTTTTATACATAGTCGCCCATTTTAGGTGACTGTTAGTTTGCCTTAAAACAAAAAACTTTACAGGGACTTTTGGAACATAACTGACTGATTAAGACTGTAATGAATATTGAACTGTAATGAATGTGTGGACCTGAAAAGCTGCTAGTTTGTATAAACTATGTTTAGCTTCATTATCCTGCTGCTTTGCCTAATTTAGAGGGCAATGTATAGAAAGAAAATATAGCACTTCACCCAATAGGGAGATAAACTCTGTTGAAGCTGAGAGTCAGCACTTTAACTTCATAATTATTGTTGACTGTGTGTTGTAAAACAATGAAAGTGTTACTTACATTACAAAAATACTTTCAGACGGCACTGGGATGGAACATCACTGAGTTCAAATATTATATGAAAAGTTTTTGCCTCCTTAATTATATTATTTATTGTGACAAATGTTACTCAGAGGAAACACTTAAAGAGAAAAGAACGTTGAAAATTGTAAATGATCTCGTCAACATATAGATGAAAAGATAATTTTAACATTGTGTAAAGACAATTTAATTAAACTGTAAAAGCACAAATGTGAATGTGAACGTGGCAATAACATGATGTCAGAGGTTTAACAGGCGCTATTGATACCAGAAAAAGAACATGGGGAAGATTGTTTTAATATTTAAAAGTTGTACTGTTGAGAACTTATTGAGATTGTTTGTATGATTTCGTGGTGTCCGCAACTGTCCATTTGGTCAACACAATCACTGTGTCCCACTTCTGTGCTACATGTTCATATTTTCAAACATACACTATGTACCAGTAACTAATTGAGAACAAGTATAACTTATGGAATGACACAGGCACGCACTCAAAACACGCTTTAGTCTATAAGCGGGACGCAACAGACTAAAGCAGTTGACTTGATAGATTTAGAATCAAAGCATAGGACGGTACTGAAATGCTGGATTTCAGCCTTACTTCCTCTCAAGTTCTTTTTCTGTCTGTGACCTCAGATGACAACTGGGGCTGTCTCATTCCACCACCACTTATCCTGGAACAAGTTTCTGTAGCTGAACATTTTTTTAAGCAACCCCAAAAAACCACTTCGTCGTGCAGCGGCGTGGCTCAATGCTCTGATTGCTGAAATGTTTCACAAGATCAACAAATTGAGATCAGTCATCACCGTGTTGCCCGGACAGCAGAGTTGGTCTTTCTCAAAGTTCAGTTTAAGTGCCTCTTTAAGTTGGTTGATGTCTCAGCATCCTTTGGACCTGTTTTCTTTGAATGTCTCCTTGAACTGCTGTAAACTACCTTTTTTTTTTTATAAACGATCCTCAAACGACTGTTCTTCCTACAGATTCTTCAGTTTCTGCCTTTCTCTGCATCCAAGCGAAGTGTAGTAGTGGTTGTTTTTATACCGTCTCATTTCCCTGTGCCTGAGGAAATCTCTGTAAAACAAATAACAGACTCACTCTAAAGGTCACCTGCTTCTTCTCCATGTCACCCTCCACCTCTGTGCATATAGACACAGTTGAGTCATCGTATTGATAAACGGTATCAGGACCTAGTTTGTGCACAGTCCACAGACATGGAACAGCTCCATGCCATGGGCTGCTCAGACTGAGTCACTGAGCTGATGAGACTGAGCATGTAGGACTTCATCTCAGGGCTTTTTCTGGCCCTTGCTGTCAACGCTGCTTTGTTCCAACAAACTGTACAAACTCATTGTGGCGTGTGTGATGGAGCGTCATCATCCTCACCGACTGTTTGGAGCTGAAGTGACCTTAAACTGTACTAAATGGTTTTTTTTTCTATTCTACTGTCAGTGTTTTAACAGTTGCTAAGGTGTATGTTCAAACTGTAAATAATATAATGTAGAGAAAGACCAAAAAACGATATATGACTTGTACGTTTGGTCTGTAGGCAGATGTAACAGTGATGCTGACTCAAGTAGTACCTTTAGAGACATTTTCTACAAACCCAACAGGATTGTCCTCTTGAATTGATTGTATGTGGGAGGAAGTGAAGTTCTCCTCTGTAACTATGCAGTACTTGGTCTTATGCATCGTTTTATTTGTATGTATCCAACAACTCCTGCTGTTAGTCTCTAGATTAAAATGCATTCTCAAGAAGCTTTAAGCAGTTTGCTTTAGGACAGAGTTGCTTTTCTTCTCGAGGAGATAAAGCAACTTTACCTTTTAGATAAAGTGTGTGTGTTCTGACCCTGTTAACCGAGTTAAAACGTAGGCGGAAAATATTTGATTATCAAATGAACGCAGTCTGACTTCCCTTCTTCGTCTGTTGAAATGTTTATGAATATTTATAATAATGAGCTGTGAGTGTGCGCTAAGTGCACTTGAAGACTTGTACAATTCTTTTATGGTTGTAAATATACTGTCTTTCCAATCTGACCCGCTGTTACTGTAACCTGAATGATTGTTGTAAAATAAACACTGTTTACTTTGCAAATATGTACATAGTATATATTTGTTAACAGAAACAAACTTTGAAATTGTAAATAAAGCTTTGGCTGTTTCTAAAGGAATCTGCTGTCTGCGAGTGTTGTTGTTGTTTCGGTGTTGATAACAGGCCGCTGAGTCTCCTCCTCTCCTCACACTGATGTTTATACGCGACCAAAACCAGATGTTGAGGTTTGTCAGTGGGTTTCCACCAAAATGCAGCAGCAGGGTGATACACTGTATGTGTTTGAATGTGGGTGTGAGACTGATACATCCTGTCACGTCTCATCAAAGCACAAAACCAAAAGAAAAACAATACAGTGTACAAACTCTAAATGCATGATGGGAGCACAGAGATACAGCCACTGAGGAGCCAAGGACACATGCTCTGTTTCTCACCATGGCGATAGAAAGGCTTTTTAAAAATCTGAATATCTTGGAATTTATCAGAAATGATTAAATTATATAATATATTGATATATTATATACTTACCTTTTAAATGTTAATTTAAAATGTAAACGTTTTGTTGGCTTTTTGTAACTTTTTATGTAATAGAAACACAAAACCTCACTCATGGACTGACTGTGAAGAGGTTGGTGTGGATGGAGCTGGTGTCTGACTCGCTGTGGGTGGTGTTTCTTTTAGTTTGGAGGAACTCCGGTCGTCAGTAGTGGGAGGAACCGGGCAGGAGGAGGCGGAGGGGGAAGTTCATTGAAGTTTAGTGACGTTGAGGTGGAAACTTGCTGAGTTCAGACCCGCGATTAAGCACCAGCTCCTCCACCACCTCCACCTCCAGCGGCAGCGGCAGCTCGCACTGGGGGGAAGATGGCGCGGAGCTGCGTCCGTGCCACGTCTCGGTTTCCTCTGCACCCCAGAGAAACGGTCACATTCGCCGCCTGGCTCTGCGTATGTCTCCTCTTACCCTCGGCTGCGGAGGCCGGACTCTACACCTCCTCCGACCAGATCATATCGCTGACTCCGGAGAACGTGGAGTCGGTGCTGGTGAACTCCACCGCGGCCACGATGGTGGAGTTTTACGCGTCGTGGTGCGGCCACTGCAGGAGCTTTTCTCCAGTCTACAAAAGTCTGGCCATTGACATTAAAGGTTGGTGTGTGGGCCTCCTGCTGCAAGTCCCCGAGCTGCAGGAACCAATCATAACTATACATGTTCTGTATTGGTTGTAAATATTTGTACTATATGCACTCATATCAGTTTTCCATCCATTAACAAGTCTCACCCATATCTCTAGTTGTCATGTAGGGCTGAGGGATACATTTAATAATCTAAGATCTGTAAAATGATTTGAGTTTAAACCCACAATCTTCACTCAAGAGCAAATGTCAGTCTTTAAATACTGAAAGAATCAATTGTCTGACATTATTGATATCGAATGGTTTTATCTTGATATAATTTTGTAATGTTATTGTCAGTGGTGGGCAAAGTATCTACTTCCTATACTTCAGTAAAAGTATGAATACCACACTGTAAAGAAGTCCTGCATTAAAAACCTCACTTAAGTATTATCGTCAAAAAGTACTCATATGAAAGGTTGACAGTTCTCATAGTGCAGTAAAAAGTCCCCCGTCAGGTTTTAATGTTATAAATTATGTTTTGGGATTAATTTTACTGCTGCATTCATGAGTTTGTTTCATTCTACTGCTGTTGATGTTCAAGGTTGAGCTCATTTGAACCACTTTATATACTGTCGGCTAGTTTAATGCATCACATTATGTATGATCATCATATGTTTGCAGACTGACTATGCTGCAAGAAGCACCTATCTCTAAAAAGTCTATTTAAAGAGTGATTCAGATTTAGAAGGGAGAGAAGACATAAACACATAAAGGAACCTTCATAATCATCGAATGTGGTGATACATGATTTTCACTGGAAAGGAAGGGCATTAAAATGATCATTTTAAAAGTAATCAGTAACTAAAACTTTAAGATAAATGTAGTAAAAACTGCTATATTGTACTCTTTGATACATTAGAGTAGAAGTGCATCATTGCTTCAAACGCAACTACTCAAGTAAAGGACAAGTACATCAAATTTGTTTTTAAGTACAGTTCTTGAGTTATTGTACTTAGTTATTGTCCACTACTCGGTCCTGTTAAGTTACACCTCCCTGATGTTTTCATCACGTGCATGCAAACAGTGAGCGAGCTGTTGTTTGTGTCTGTTAATCAGAGCATGTGATCTAATTGGAGTTTTTATTCTACTCGACACTGTGACTCAAAAACCCACCATCACGTCATCTGAGTTCGGTTTCTGGAGCTCGTGCTCCAATAGAAACATCACATCGCAGTGAGAATCAATATAATTAGGACGACAGTCAGGGGCAAAGATTCTGGTGATGGCAGAGGGCCTGACACAGTCATGGGGTATTTCAGTCTCACACAGTCAACAATGGTAACTTGGCAGGCGATGGAAATGCCTTGCCTTGGAGCTGGGAGAGAGATCTTGCTGAAATGTTATGGGAGAAATGAGGGGGAGGTCCTCAAGTCAACCATGAACCTGTGTGAGTGTATCAGCAACAATTATCTTCCTGATGAGGCCCGTCAGAGACACTGCACTTTTCTTTCCCTAATGATAAGTAAAGTAAACATGGAAACAGCCCGTGCAAATCACAAAACACAACTACATGAACTTCTAATGGAAATACCTGCTATAGACGAGGTGTTAGCTATTAGCTCACTCACCACAAAGCTTGCCTGCACATCATTGTCTCTGTCACAATATGGTCTTGTGAAAGCTGCTTCTTGACCACAAACGGAAGAAACTTAACTTTTTCCTACTCATCCAGTTTGCTATTACAAATGATCCACACTAGGTTGCATTAGGAATATTGTTTTGTCCATTTCTCTTGGAAATTCCACATCATGACAGTTTCCATGAAGCTTATCAGCAATGACATAGAGATTTGACAGGTATACAGCCAGAACCAACTATCCAGAGGGATATCTAGTCTACTTTGTTAGAGGGCCTGGAGGCCGTAGGGTTTCCTTTCTTGCAGTAGACTTAATATTTTCTGTGACTCTTTCCCTTTATTTGATGTCTTTTCTTCAGAGTGGAAGCCAGCTGTGGACCTGGCAGCAATAGACTGCGCTGTAGATGTGAACAGGAAGTTCTGTATCGTCCAGGGCATCACAGGGTATCCTACCATGAAGGTAACACTGAGCTGTCTAATGCACAAATACTCCGTCGAATCGTACCAAATCATCTTTATTGGCTTGGTGACATTATTGTGAAGGCTCAATTTCATGCTATACAATATTAGATTAACTTACACATCTTATTGCCTGACTGATTGTGTCCTACCACTGCTACTGAATGACACACAATACTTTTACTGAATTACAAAACCAGGAAAATCCACAGTTTTGCTTTCATTTCAGCCTCTGACATGTCAGGCTTTGCTACTCTTCTCTGTTTTACAACATTTAAATTGAATGTCTTTTATAAAAAAAGCCCATTCATTTTAATCTTGGGTTTTCAAAACTTTCCACCATTTTTCACTATTGACTTTTTACAGTTTATTTGGTAAATGAAACAGTCGATAACAGTAATAATGATAATCAATAGCTAAATCAAACGCTTAATTTTGTCGACCAAATAAGGTGTAAATTGTGAAAAAATAAGCAGGGATGATTATAATCAATTAAATTCCACAGAGACCATGTACGAGATCAAGGTAGATAGATTCTTACTCTCATGTCATGGTATGCCTTTTTCTGTCAGTAGGTGGCAGTAATAATCTGAACTGTGTCAACTAAGCATTACTCTGCTTGTGTTAGTGGCTTTGTGTTACCACTGTGTGAGTGTATTTATCATTGTAGAAGCTCTGGATGAGAATGGAACTGTAGATACTATCATGTGATCCCAGGGAGTAGAGTGAACCTAAACGCCCCAGTTTCAAACGTGTGTGTTTCTATCTTATGTGATTTCATCAGCAGCAGTGCGAGCTCAGGCCTCTGCTCTCACTTCTGCTTCTGCTCTCTGCCGTCCAGCGAGAGAGCGATAGAAACAAAGATCTCTTTCTGTTTGAAACCACATCTGAGTTTTAACATCTGCAAATCATTTCCACCAGGAAGGATTGAGAGGTCAAGGCGGGCAGAGAGGAGCGCTGCACCGCCACCACCAAACATTACACAATGTCACTTTGCTCCTCTCATGGTCGTGTGAGGCCCGTCTGAGTTGATCTCTCTCTCACTCTTACCTAAACTCTCTCTCTTCTTTCATTTCACAGTTCTTTCATGCCTACTCCAAGGCTGACTCCAAGGGACTGACTTTCAAAGGTAAACAAGAAGCAGACTCCTCCTTAAATTGTCTTTCATGGTGAACGTGCAGTTTGAGCAGGCGTCCCATCAGAGCAGGAATATGCACACGGATCATTGTCCTATCAGACATCATTAGAACTGAGCTCAGGCATGTGACTGTGCACCATTCATTTCACACTTACCTAATGTTCTAGTGACCCGCATCAGTATGTATACAGTGAACTTAGGAACAAACAGTGAACTGTGTTGCCCTTTGACCTCCAGGTTTTCCCCGCGATGTTCAAGGTCTCAGACACAGGATCATAGACAAACTAGAAACCCAAATGCCCTGGCCCCCCGCCTGCCCCCCACTGGAGCCCACCAGGTAAAGAAACACAAACACTTCGATTTAGATTCTATAAAGTGATTGTTGAAGGTTTTTGTTTTGTCCTGTCATTATACCTATTTAGCTGTGTTTGTCAAATCGATGACATTAACCTAGAACTAGCTCTAAACCTGCCTGTTTGGAATGAGCTGTTTGTTTGTTATGTGTTAATGCTCTGCAACTACTTCACAATTAATCCTTGTCATTAGAGTCCACATGAGTCCTCCTCAAGCAGTTTTACAGTTTACTGTCACTTTTTATTGTTTGTGTGCTGGAGGCTTTGAGCAGAGCTTTTTATGAACAGTCTATGGTAAATGGTTGTATCTATATAGCGCTTTTCTAGTCTTGAAGACCACTCAAAGCGCTTTACACTACAGTTTGCCATTCACCCATTCACACACACATTCATACATACAGTGCATCTAGAGTAGCACTTTTATTGTTGTTCTATGAGGGGCAATTCGGGGTTCAGCATCTTGCCAAAGACACTTTGGCATGCAGATGGGAAGACTGGGAATCGAACTTCCGACCTTCTATGGTGAAGAGTGACGTCAGAAAACTTTGTGTTCGTCCTACCTGGCTTATCTGATTTTATAGTCAATGTTTTTCATAGAGTGAAACAGAATTATCTTTGTTATTGTTCACGTGTGGTTTATATCTAAGTTTATTTGGTTTAGTTAACTGGCATTGCTTTTTTATGCACTACAGTGGGATTAGAAGGTAGATATATTTTTATTGTCAAAGTATATTAAGTACTATGTTTGCATTATTTCCACAGTGTTATTGTCGTATGTCATAGTAAAATGAGTGAACTTACCATCGGTTTACCATTTAATCTGTTTAGTCAATGTGCTGAAATGCAGTCTACTTCTGTTTCCATAATTCCTCCACAGGTGTCTGGATTCTGAATCCACATTCCCATCATGCTGCATAAATCTATCTGACCTCGTGTTTGACTGCTGCAGGAATCTGCACTGCTTTTTATTTATCATCTAAATAACTAGTGATTAATGATCGGTCTGTTTATTTAATGAATATAAGTCTTTTAGTTTGAACCTGTGAGGTACCAACATGTTTTCACTCGCAAGAATCTTGTTACTTCATCACTCTGCTCTGCTCATGTACATAACCACACACATGCACTGTACATGCAGTTTATTATCATGATGGTGGAGCAGGAAAAGGAAGCAGTGACTCAACTTTATTTCTCCTTTTACATTTAAAGGGGAAGTACCCTTCATTTCAGAGTCAAGTTTTCTCCTTTTCTTCTTCTTCTTCTTATGATGAAAATAATGGAAATGAGATAACAAGAAAAACCAAATCCAAAAGTACAGTTACATGAAAGCAGATATCTTACTGGGAAGCATCTTAGCTGGAATGTTAGTATGGGGATTGTGGAAAGAGCCAGATTGACTCAAATATCAGAAAGAGGCTCATACTAAGGAAATTGTGCAATTTATTTTCAGTATGTCCTTTTATAAGATAAAGTATGTCCATACAATTCTGTAGTTACTTCATTCTTCTGTTGGATCTCTATTAGATCAATATTTAATCCCTTTAAGCTTTACTGGTGATTACTGGCTCCTAAAGGCTCAACTTTAGTCTGAACTCCAGTTACAGTACATATTATGTGTCTTACATGGTTTGTCTGCTCCTCTCTCTCCAGCGAAGCAGAGCTCGAAAGCTTCTTTGAGACAAACAATGTTCAACACCTGGTCCTGATCTTTGAAGAAGCCAACTCCTACATCGGCCGAGAGGTAACAGCTTGTGTTTCCATCAGCCCGAGCTGTGTGTGTCTCTAGATTATCACATCCTTTTGGGGCAGGAGGAGATGTTTGCTTTGAAAACAGCTGAATATACTGTAGTTAACCAGTCTACTATACAAATACTGATATACTGTATTACACAACAAATAATGTCAGTATGTTGAAATGTGTGTGTGTGTGTGTGTGTGTGTGTGTGTGTGTGTGTGTGTGTGNTGTGTGTGTGTGTGTGTGTGTGTGTGTGTGTGTGTGTTCGTGTCTGTGTGTGTGTGTCTTCAGCTTACCCTGGACCTGTTACAGTTTGAAAACATTGCCGTGCGAAGGGTCCTGAGCACCGAGAAAGGACTGGTGACCAAACTGGGAGTGACTGAGTTCCCATCGTGTTTCCTCTATTATCCTGGAGGCAACTTCACCAGACTCCACGTGTGAGTATCTGCAGCACATCTGTGTTTTAAACCTTGACTGAAAAATAAATGCTTTATATTTTCATGTCAAATCAGCTTGTGAGGATTGTGTGAGTCTGCTCGACTGGGATCTGTTGGCCGTCCCATGAGTTGTGTTGCACCTGAGAGAGGTCATATCTTGAGCAGGGATTTTAACATTAGGGCATCTGGGAAAAGGAAATTAAAAGACAAAGCACCAAAATTTTGGGAGATGTGAAATTATGTTTGCCAGTGCCAGGACAAATTTTGAACTTGCACAGTGTTTCCGATGCTCTTTGACATTGAACTACCAATGAGGGCCACATGAGAAGGAAGTCAGCACTGGTGGAGACTCACTACCTGAAGGTTTTATTGTTTGTTTGCTCTAAAAAAGACAAACCTATTATGTAAACACACAAATGGACGAGGACAGATTAGAATCTGGCTGTTATAGGAACCAAAGATAAACAGTATGATCACCTACAGGATGTGTGTCATCTTCACTTTGCCACTGCCCATTGTTATGTGTGGTGTACATGACAGTTCACTGGTACAAATTGGATAGAAAAACAATTTTGTTACTGTTCACAAGTGCAACATGCTACCTTGGCAAATTCTACACAAAACTGTATGTCCAACTGTATTATTAACCTGTTGCAAGTCTAGCAAACAGTTAGAAACATAGAATAGGGACTAGTTCAAGTTGAACCAGGTCACCAAGGAGACGTGGAGACAATTTATTATATGTAAGTTTCTACTGTAGCTAGCACAAGCATCAACAGCTGTATAATCAACTTAATTGATGTGAGTAAGACGTTAGTATGCACCTGCTAGGCAGCTCTACTTCTTCGTCCTCTCCATAGACTGTTTATGAAGATGGACGATGCGTCTCCACCTCCTTCCACTATCAAGAAATGAAGCCATCTTGGGCATCGGGAGCCAGAGTCTTGACCTTTCCAGAGCTGTCATGATGTCCATATTTATATACAGGATATATTTGTTTTGGACTCAGAGCAGACTGAATACTTCAGTGACTCCTTACCGCAAACAGGATTGTGAGTAAGGATGGGACATGGCTAGCTGGTTAGCATGCTCATTTGAGTAGAAGACAAGGAGTGATAGAAATAGAAGCAAAACAAGATGCTGTTGGCGTGTAAAGGTTTGACGCTAAACTCCACAACATTTCTGCTAAATTGAAACCGATGCTAATGTTGCATATCAGACCTTTTAATTTTTCTGAGAAACAAACATTTTTAAAAGCAATGAGCGGAGGTGTGAGGCCAGGGAACAGCTGTTTTGCATATTTTGTTCCATACCAGTTACTCTTGAGTGTAAATTGTCTTTAGCTCCATGTGAAACATACAAACACCAAAGTTTACTCCCCTTCACTCTCTATTGTTCCACGTGTCACAACTTTGCTTTCTCCTCAAAAGCATCTTGGTGTGTGCTCATTATCTGAACCCTATTCATGAGAATACTTTTAAACATCTGGCCTCTTAATGGGATCAGAGCATCAAAATCTCTCCCATTATTCACCATCATAAAGCGACGCTGATCATTCCTCACCCTGCAAATTCATCTGCTGTTTCTGCCTCTTTGTTTGGCCGTTTCAATAACTTGGCATGCAAAGAGGACTCTTTTTAGTTGACAAATGCAAAAAGGAAATGATTTATTGCCGATTTATTTATTCACCCTCCATCTCTCCCCTTCCAACCCCCCTCATCTCCATCACTGTACAGAGGGGAGGTTTTTTAATTTCTTGCATGAAAACAATGCCATTGCTTTTCTGGCTTCACCTGCCAAACAAGCCCCAGCCGCACACAGCGACAGATGGCCTCCCATCATCACTGAATGTCTGATTGGTCCTGGGAGAGCGTGTGCAGCGCGTGTCTGCGTATGACTGTGTGTGTGTGTGTGTGTGTGTGTG